CCTCGCCATAGCTGGAGATCTGAATGGCCATGTGAGTAGTGACAAAAGGGGCCTCGAAAGGGTGCACGGATATTAAGGAATAGGAGTAAGAAATGCTGAGGGAGAATGGATCCTTGACCTAGCCACAGCCCACGACTTAGCAATCTGTAGCACCTTCTTCGCGAAAAGGAGGACTCAGAAGATAACCTACAGCAGTGGAGGGAGACAAACGGAAATCGACCATGTCCTGGTCAGAAGATCGTCTCTCAAAACCGTCAAGGTATCAAGGTCTCTGTAAGAAGAGCTCGGCCCCTGCAGCACAGGCCCCTCCTGGCAGACATCGCCACAGACCTCCCAAAGAGGACCAGGGTGAGAGCAGAGCGAAGAATTCGCATTCGGCGGTGGAAAATGCGCAAGGGGAAGAAATAGCCTCGGCCCGAAGAATACTGGAGGCTGGGCTCCCAGACCCACATGGGCCAGTCCAGGACACCTGGACCTACGCAGTCGAGGTCATTCTATAGTGTGCAAAGGAAGTCCTGGGAGAGACGCGAGGTGGTATCAGTGTAGACAAGGCAGCCTGGTTCTGGAACGAGGAAGTCCAGAGGATCGTCAATCAGAAGAAGGAAGCTCGAAAACTTTGGCAAAAGACACAGAGCCCAGAAGACTATATATTGCCTACAAGCAGCCACAGCTAACGCAGCCGTTTGCTAGGCAAGAAATACGGAAATGCGACGCCCTGCTACGAGAAGCTGGAGGGCCGCCAGAGAAGGAGATAAGTTTGTCTTCCGATTTGATGAAGCTCGGCATCGCGCGGCTCAGGACATCAGGGTCGTTAAGACTGTGGAGAGCATCAACAGGGCCATTCTCAGGAATCAACAGGGCCATTCTCAGGAAACCAGCCGAAGTCAGAAAGAGGTGGGAAGAATACTTCAAGGGACTTTTGAATGAAGAATTCTCCTGCAAGGATAGCCGACAGATAAAAGCGACGACAGGCCCCATCACTCCCTGGACGCAGGATGAAGTCCGCCGTGAGCTAGGGAGAATGAAAGCTGGGAAAGCAGTGGGTCCAGACGGGTACCGATAGAGGCATGGAAGGCCCAGGAACCTTATAATTTTCATCCAAAGTGGCTCTTTTCGACAACTTCGCCGATTTGAGCCATTTCACGGCATTTTTGCTGCATCTCCGTCCGGGTGTGTCGTAAGGTCCGCCCGCGCAACGCCGCACGCCGCTCCGCACCGCCCGCCGCGAGAGACCGCCGCGCGAAGAGCCGGAAAACTCGTCCGGTCGCGCGGAAAACTCGTCCAGGCCAGGAAAACTGGTCCAGCCGCCGTCCCAGCGAGCCGAGTGTGTCAGTAGTTCCGCCCGTGCCACCACGTCCCGAATCAAGCTCCGCCCACCCCGGAATCCGACCCTTATAATTTTCATCCGAAGTGGCTCTTTTCGACAACTCGCCGATTTGAGCCATTTCACGGTGCTTCATCTCCGCCGGGGGTCGTTAGCGTTGCCCGACGGAGAAAACCTCGTCCAAAGGGGTCCCCCTTGCCGGTTTTTTCGCCAACTGTGTCATAAGGTCCGTAGCCCCGCCCCACGCCGCCTGGGGTGAGCTGGCTAACAGACTTCCTAAACAATGTACGGAAGGAGGATGCAGATGGTGGAGAGCAGCACAAATCGCCCCCGTCTTCAAACAGAAAGGGGACGCGACGGAAGTGCTCCAACTACCGCGGCATCAAGCTGACTCCCCATACTACATGAAGCTGTACGAGCACCTGGTCAACACTAGGCTAAGGGAGCTTGTCCCTTGTTTCGCAGGAAGCCGTTGAGCCTTCATGCCTGAAATGTCCACCACGGTGATCCATAATTCATCGCCAAACAGCTTTATGGAAATACCGAGAAGAACGGTATACCTAGGCTTTCCTTTGGAAAAGAAGGCATTCCGACCGCTGCCTCGGCCTGTACTCTGGTGTCAGAGACTTAGACGTAGTCGAGATCTGGTCTCTATAGTGAAGGATATGTACGATGGGGCTAAAGCTACGCACCCCGCACGGCTTGACGAAGGAGGTAAACATCACGGTTGGGGTACACCAAGGATCAGCCCTCAGCCCGTTCCTCTTCCTCCTGACTCTAGATGTCATGGCAAAAGAACTCATAGAGGGAACACTGAAAACCATCGGAACTCATGGAAGGACCACTGAAAACCATCCTCGACGCTGACGACATCGCCCTGATAGCGACAGTGGAAAGACATTGTCCATACAGGGTGCAGTGGCACAGGATGCGCTCGCTGGCAATGGATTCCGGTTGAACGTAAAGAACACCAAGTTCCTGAGCTCTGAAGAGTGTACCGAACCCATCGTAGACCGTCACGGCGAGAGCCGAAAGGGTCGAGGATTCAGTACCCTTGGGAGCACCTAGCCAGCTGATGCAGTGGATCGGGCAGTGAAAGCCCAATAAGCAGACAGCTGGATGAAATGGAGCGAGCCACTGGTGATCCTGTGTGACCGGCGATGCTTCGAGTAGACGCCCGAAGGCAAGGCTGTACCGGCGTGGTAACGTCTACCAATGCTGCTACGGCACTGTATGCTGGCCTATCTGCCAAAACCATGAAGCAGCCACTCCACCATGCTGAAAGAGGATGCTGAAGATGGGCCTGCGCGCTGCGGCTCGACTCGACGAGAGTCATAAACGACGGAATCGTGGCGTCACACAGATCCGCTCCGATCAGTTGTAAGCACGAGAGCAGCGACTGTTCGATGCTATGGCACGTGCTGAGAAGGCCTGAGGACCACCCAATAAGGAAGGCATTGGAATTCGAAGCAGAGGGCAAGCGACCACGAGGAGCCCCAAAGAAAAGATGGAGGGACGTCATCAAGAAGGACCTCACTGAAGTGAAAGCCACGGCAGAAGATGCAGTGGATCGGAACAAGTGGCGACGTCTAACACGATCAGCGGACCCTGCGACGGCGCGGGACTAACGCTAGGGAGAAGAAAGAAGAGTTGATAAAACCCAAAGTGACCTTTCCAAAAGATTCATCACTCTATAGCTGATTCGCCTCAGTTTTTACATAGATCCGTTTTTTTCTGAGAGCTTGTGCTTATGCAGGGAATGATGAAGGGCCAAATGTCGGTATGGTGATCAGAGCTGTGGCAGCGTGGCAAGTGGAATCGCATGCATGGAATTCGCACCATCACTTATTTGGTTCAACGAAGGAGTACCATAGCCAATAGATCCACCTTGATTCACCAAACAACGCTCTGTTGGTTGCCGCGCTTCAGCATAGCCAAGAATCTTGAGAACAAAGGCAAGTTTTAAAGGGGGTAAACCAGCGAAATGTGATGTCTCATGCATTACGTTGTATTATTTGTAAAACTTGAGTACTATTTTCTTTCTCAAAAAATTTTCTCAGAAATGCGAATTCAGATGATTGTAGCCGTGCAAGGAATTCCTCATTCAGATCTGTAGCCGTGCAAGAAATTTCTGGAGATGACAACCGAACACGATCGTGCCGTTCTGAATCATATTCTGAATCCACTAATGCCCACAACAGATATGTCGAATTTGGAAGGCGAAGTCGCTGAAGATGGTATGTTATGTTAAGAGGATACGGACAAGGAGCATTACCTGAAAAAATGGTGACCTGAAAAGGTGGTAATTCGCAGTCGAATCCATCGAAATTGGCTGATTCGCCGTCACCGAGCCGCAGCCGCTGTCGCGTCAGTGCAGCGCGGCTCTCCGCCCCGACAGTCCGTAATGATGAGGACGTCCTTGCCATGTGGGAGGTGAATGGATCCACAGCTGCAGTAATGTGCCACTTTTTCCGGCCAAAAGTGCTCGGAAACGAGGCTGTAGGGTTGTGGTACTCGAGTACCGTCTCTACACTAAACCCAAACTGCCGCAGGGCCAGCCACACAACTAAATAGAGCCAGACACGCGACTCTCCCGCATCCCTTTACTTCACTTAATCCTCTACCGCTAGGTCGTGTTTCGCTGCGAGACCCTCGCAACGACGCAATTAGCGCACCGTAACTCGGGTGGAGTGTGAAGATGGCACGGAGCTATCATTCTCCTTTAGTTCCTCTCCCGTGTACTTTTGCCCGGAGAAAAAGGCACGTTAGTGCAGCTGCAGACCCACTTTCCCAGACACGGCAAGGACCGGGATTCACGAAGAGGAGGAGACACTTCGTCTTTAAGAAGCATGATCCCATTTTTTTTCCTTATTTACAGCACTATATGCGTACCTAAAGCTGTGTTATAAGCAATTAACGACAGCACAATCACAGCTCCGATCACCGCTGATGGCATCGAAGAATCTCGAACGCTGGAGAAAGCCGGGGTTGAACTGGCTGAAAGCGGCAACGTCCAGAAGGCAATAGAGAAATTCAACGAAGCTATCGAGAAGTGCCCTTGTTAGTCCATCGGCATTCAATAATCGAGCACAAGCATTACGGCTGATGGGCAAACCGGAGGGTAAGTCACGATGCTGTTCCTTTCCCGTCAGTAAGTAGTCGGATATGAGTAGAAGTCATAGATCCTTTCTTCGACGCAAATTCATGGGCGCTGACCAAGGTCCGCACACGGTCCACTACACTCAGATATCGTTGACATCAGTCGGGGCGTGCCAGTGGGGCATGGGTTTGGCTATTCGCCAAACGTCCCAAACCTTCCCCAATAGTTACCGAACGCCTAAAGCTGAAATAACCCGCAGAAAAGGGGATGGAGCAACGCCGAAACCCACACCCAATTGACACGCCTCGACTGACTTCAGTAAAAACGACTGTTAGCCCCCTCTTCAAAATAGGCGACGTGTCACTGACGTCACATAACCTGAAGCACCTTGAAAGCATGACTCAAGATTTTTCTCGTCATATTGCTTCAGATAACGAGCAATCACCTGCTAACGAGTAGCGGGCCTGTGCTGCATTTGCGCTCAGAGTATTTATATTGTGGAACCTAACAGTGAAAAGAACTATACAAGTCCTACCTTCAGAAGCTCTGACCGACTTGAATCAAGCCATCTCACTGAGCAACGGTGTTGGAAGAAGTGCTTGCCAAGCATTTGTACAGCGAGCTATGATTCACAGGCTACGAGGTGACGACGACTCAGCCAGGGTGAGCATTCTCATGCTAGCATGAAAGGAGAAGTAAATACAATTTCCGTTTACAGGCCGATTTTCAAAAAGCTTCGGAACTTGGATCGTCATTCGCCAAGATGCAAATGGTCGCCCTCAATCCATATGCCGCCATGTGCAACAAAATGCTAAGCGAAGTGTTCGAGCAATCTCAAGCAAGGAAAACCGACCGATCAATAAACCTGACAGCATAATTGTAAACTGTAACAGGAATAAGTAAATTGAGTGTGCACAGCAAAATTCATGCTCTTCACAATCCTTTCTATGAACAAAACGCCGGGAATTGATAGAGTGGACACTTAGAGGCATAATCCACGCTCAGAGCACGGGTTGAGTCAGGCGTTCCGCGGAAGCCATGGTACGGCATGTCTGTGATCATCACAAGGGGGGGGGGTCGTATTTGACCGCGAGGGAGGGGGTCGTATTTGGTCAGAGAAAAATTTTTTTGATAGTTGATTTCTCTTGTTTCACGGACGCTGTAAAGGGGGGGGTCGTACTTGGTCATTTTTGGGAGGGGGGGGGTCGTATTTGGTCAGTTCACGACGCACTACTATTGAGTTAGGGGAACGAATTTGTGCACCAACGTATCCCACAATCCCATCCGACCTCCCCCCTCCGCTCGACAGCAAAATTTTTAGAAAATTCTCAGGAGATTTGGGGAAAACCTGAGAGGGTGGAGGGCTTGGAGGAGGGAGGGGGTCGCATTTTTCAGAAAATGATCACGCAGCTCGCTTCGCGGGGGGTCGCATTTTTCAGAAAATGATCACAACGCGATGGCGTGCCCTGGCGGGAGCTGTCCCATCGCTGCGCCCTCCCCATTGGTGGAGAGGGCATGACAGTGATAACTACACCATCAGGCTTAACCCTGCCTACTTAAAGGCACATTCCGCGATAAAATAAGGCTATGACCTCTCAAATGTGTCGGACGATCCGGAAGGCGATTTTTGAGGCTGCGCTACTTTCAAAATGTGAAAAACGGCAAGAACTCCGCTAGAAGCTGACTAATTAGGCCCATGGACACCCCTTAGGCCCATGCCGACCCTCACCGGCTGCTAGCTACTAGCTAGTAGCCACTATGTTATCTTTCTCTATAACATTTCGGACTGCTTTTTCTGCTGCTTTTCTCCGCTAATCAGATACTTAGCACTTTTTTGTGCCTATTTGAGTTCCGTTTCCCGCAATTTGCGGTCGCGAACTGTGCCTTTAAAGACACATGGTACGCTCAAACACATTGAGGGTGTATGAGACTATCAGCCCCCCAGCTGTCGATGTGTCGTGGTCCCCCCCCCGCCCAAACATGCCCAGGAATGGAGATACAGGACCGTGAAACACGCTAGTTCCTCCATGCTCCGCCTTACACCTTTTGCGGCGCAGATTCCCGTCCTTCATAACATCCGTTGCAAGCGCGCGTGTCGCGTGCGGCTCCTTGGCACTTTGCCAAGTCCTTTAATTGCGCTCTCAAATACGAGTAAAACGCAATTTCCTGATGCGGATAACATTGGAGGTGCTACAAAATAAGAACAGAAGATGATGACAAGGGCCAGAACTCAAGAGCAACTCGGCTGCATCTGCAGAATCCATCAGAGGCCGCGCATTCCCAGAAAACATGAGAATAAAAACAATCCAAGCGTCCCACTCGTTTATTCTAAGTATTTCTATGGCTTTGGCGCCGGATTCGCGCCGGATCGTAGAAATTTACAGGCGATTTCAACTAATTTGCCTTTCCTTGATTTTTTCATTTTTGTTTTATTTACATTTACATCGTTGTGCTTCATTTCTAGCCTGTGTCATCTTCATCTCCTTGTACATGGATTTTGAAGCATGAGCAACACCTAAAATTTTATTCGCATCAGGAAATTGCGTTTTGCTTGTATCAAACTAACGAGTATGCCGTTTTATTTTCATGTTTCGTGGAAATACGCGGCCTCCGAGGGATGTTGCAGAAGTGGCACAGTTGCTTTTAAGTTCTGACCCTCGTCATCATCTTCTGTTCTTATTTTGCAGCACCTCCAATGTTATCCGCATCAGGAAATTGCGTTTTACTTGTATTTGAAAGCGCAATTAAAGGCAAAGTGCCAAGGAGCCGCACGCGACACGCGCGCTTGCAACGGATGTTATGAAGGACGGGAATCTGCGCCGCAAAAGGTGTAAGGCGGAGCATGGAGGAACTAGCGTGTTTCACGGTCCTGTATCTCCATTCCTGGGCATGTTTGGGCGGGGGACCACGACACATCGACAGCTGGGGGGCTGATAGTCTCATACACCCTCAATGTGTGTGAGCGTACTATGTGTCTTTAACCAGCGTGAACCACGCCTTCAGACGCAGTAGAATACAATAATCAGTTGCGGCAGAACAGTAATTTCCGTTATGGAGTTATTTGTAGTAACCTTGGGGGGTTGATTGGCAAGCAGATTACTGCTATTCCTAATGGTTATCTCATCGGATCCTACGAGCTCTCATGCTGACCCTCAAAAAATACTCTCTGCAGTTATATGTTAGATGGGTCAAAACGGGCGGAATTAGCGAATTGTGTATTCGGCGTGCTACCCAATGGAGGTACGACACCATACAGCACCTTTGAAACCAAACTCATTCATAAGGGTTAGTTTTCCAAACAATTTTTCTGGTTTTAAAGGCATTTTAGAGCCATTTGGAAGCCGTGTATATGGCACATCCCAAAAGGATAATCAATAACAGCCACTTGGACTCAATGTCCCACATCGGTCGCTATACAGCATTGTTCACTGCGCACACTGGTGCGTGCCAGAGACCTGACCTCGCAGGGCACTAATCCGTTCTCCACAAAATTCGATAGCTCACCATCTTCAACAGTTGGTGGAGAACGGAGAACAGATCCTCTCCTTCGTGACACGCCCACCATCCACAGTAAACAAAACTATGGGGAGGTAGAGGAATGGCGCATCCCTAGATGGAGCAGGCCAATATTGAGCATTAGCCTTCCTCTGTTGTAGCATTCCTTAATCAGAGGAAGCGACCTAATCCGCCAGAGATACCAAATATCGCTCACCCTTAGCTTTTCATCAAGGTAAACCATCGTGTAGTATAGTTGGTCATCATCGCCATCAGCAACTTCTTTCAGAGTGATCATTTGATAAATCTCTTTTGCATAGCCACACGAACAGACCAGAATCAAGATACCTGAACAAACACCTATGATTCGTTCTCTGAAAAGAGACAGACTTTCTCACCTCTTCCCGAATTCCACCACCGGATATTCAATCGCCAATGATTGATCTGGCCAACAGAAGGGTTCAGCGCCAAATAACACCCTGTAGTCTTCGAAGTAAGTGAGGAACCGATCGAGGATGGTGTCCATACTAGCAGTGAACACCACGTCGTAGCCGAATTAGCTTTGTTACTATTTTTGGAGGGTTTTATTAGAAAACCCGAAAGGAACAGCAACATACGCATCGACGAATAAAATTATGGTGTGCCGTCGGCGTACATTCTCGAAGCATCTCGGAGAATACGAATTTTCTGACCGCCACCCTGAATTTTTCAATATTTCGCAATTTATCTAATCTCAGTAAATTACAGACAACAATAGATGAAATGCAGTGAAATATAGCGGAGCTATTAAGTCAAAGCCGCAGCCCGCGTACATCATACCGGTGTTGTATCAGACACGAAATAGGGTGCGGCACTGTTGGGATAGTACATGGGGCGTTCTCACCAGTTAGCTGGGGAGGGGTGAAGGGGTCGTATTTGGCCGTCTGGGATCGCATCTGACCTTGATAGGATTTTTGTTCGATCGCGAAGAATTTTCCCTGGATACTGGTTTTTCCCCAACCTGGGGAAAAACCTGAGGCCAAATGTTCAGAGAAGCTGGGCCCCCTGCTGACTTGACACGACCTCCCCCCCGTAGTTCTCTCCTCTGATGCGGTCGAACTGTCGACCGGGGAATGGCGAGGCGAGGAAAAATACAGCTTCATCCTATTCCTAACCTACCGACCGCTTTCCTAGATTTTTTTCGAACTGAATACCAGTTTGTAGTTTGATTGTCCTGAAAGCTTCCCATTTGAACCCAAAACGGTTTTTCCCCGATTCCTCACTTTTTTGTTGTCGAGCAGGTGTGGGGGCATATAGTAGCACATTTGAACCGGATAAACCGCAACAATTAAAAAAGTGGAGGAAGTTTCCCCAACACTGCGAATTTCTTCCATCAGGAAAGGTCACAGGTCAGCCCGGCCATTTCCAATGAGCTGCACACCGTTGTACGCGTCTTGGGACGGTGAACTCAAATCTACCTTCAGAATTTGCGGAACGATTCTCTGAACGGAGTTATGGAGGGTTTTATCCCCGCGTGGTCGTTTCACATGCTATCGCGAGGAAACGTGGAAGCGTCTTTACATTTATGTATGGAGTCATTCTGAAATGTGGTAGTACAGCGAAACGGGTAGAGAGCGGGTTTCCTAATCGAGACGTCGTGGGATCGGTTCCGGGGCAGGTCCATTTCTTTTGCAGCCAAGAACATGGCCGACAAACTTTCTAACATCTCTGCTCGCCTGCACTACCCTATAAGGGAACCTGCAATCAGTTTTTTTTCGAAAGTGTAGACCCATTGTGGCCTGAAAGAGTGCTGCTTGTACCCCTCGTAACACGTGTCACAAGGGTTTTTGCAAGGAAATACTATCATATTCATGTTCAGCGGCTTGACGAACCTGATATTTCGACCTCACTTGGAAAATGTGGGCTATTCCATGGGTAATTAGCAGCAGATTGGAGCTCACCTACCATCGATGACTGGTCTCGGAATGGGATTTCTTCCCGATAAAAAATCCTAGGACACTATCCCATTTTCCTCACTTGTGGTTTGAAATTTGTTTGTTTTTCAGTGATTGTAGCAGCGCACTCTCGCCGTGTTTGAATAAATAAATAAGAGCACATAAAGGAGTGCTCGTGCAATCTTGCGGTTAACATAATCCGAATTATTTTGCCTCATTTGCATTTGGTTCACTGACTGTGATTGTAGCGGACTGCTCCGCTGATCCGGTGTCGGTTGGAGTCGGCGAGGTGCTGGCGTCGGCGTTGGCGTTGAGCTGTCGGTCGCGTCCGTGGAATCGAAACTGACTGGAGCTCCTGCCGAGGGTATTTATACCCCGAGATCCCGCCAAAGAGGGATATTCAAACGCCGGCTCACTGGCTAGGAGTGGACGGCGATTATTGATCAGGCCTTAAGCCGATCGCCTCTACAGCTCCTTCAAAATACCCGCTTACATAGATGCCCTGAACGTAGAGGCGGTTATTGATCGGTGGTTGAACCCGTCGCCTCAACATGATGCTTCATCTCGTTCCGAGCACTAACAGATTCTTTTATTTCCATCACGGCGAATCAGGTTGTGCACAAGTACTGTCCTCATCATTACGGACTGTCGGGGCGTATCAGCCAGTAGGAGTGCGCACACTGTTTGAAGCCGTTCTCAGCCTTTTCGTTGAAACGCGTATGCGACAAAAAGTGGTAGAAAACGAGTAATACGAAGGATATAATGCTGTCATGTCATTTGCTCGCTTCAACAACTGGTGCAGAAAGACTTTGGCACCGCGGAAAACAGCCGCACTGACCCGCCCCGACAGTCCGTAATGATGAGGACGGTATGCAGTCTCTTGGATGCCCAATTCCAAAGATGTTGGCGCCGATTCGGACTCTTTTATCTAATTGTGTGTTGCAGTTTCGAACGTATGAAACGCTTTATCGACACGATGTATCGCAGAAACAGTTAAGAGTTGCCTTTCGTGGTAAGCTTTCTTCTTGCTGTTATGGGCCCGGCACTACTTCCCACGACCATAATATCGACCATACCAATGGTTGTACTGTTTGGTCGTCTCTCTGCCGCTGCCGCTGCGCGTCCCTTAAACCAGCCTACGACTTTGTTAACAGCGTTCGGTATAGTTGTCGTGAAGAAGTGACCTAAATGAGAATTCAGTGGCGACTTTTGACTATACTTGGAAGATAAGCACATTTTAATAATATCACGTCATTAGACAGTGGCTGTGGTGTTGATGGGGAGAATATGGAACTCCATAAATATCGACCTAAGGACCTACACATGAATCAAAAATCATGTGCGATGTGAGAAACGAAGGTGTGCGTTTTCTGCTTACATTGCAGTAACGTATGGCCCAGGTCGAGTCCCACTTCGTCACAGTGCTACCATAATATTGGGGAAAACTAGATGATGAGGCGCACTTCGGCACAGGTGGAAGGGTTCACTTTGTACGGTAGCTGCTTTCCATTGTCCTGCTGAGCCATATATAGAGATTTGTGAAATCTGGTTTGCCATTAATTGATACCAGTCAACGTTTGTAGAAACTATTTGTCAACCCTTGTAAGGAATACCTGTCAACTCTTATAAAGCAGTGATCACGACAATGGGAAGAGGCAAGAGTGCAAAATGCCCCCTCCCTCCACCTACTCGTCGCCGAATAGCGCTGATGATTGCTGGAGCAAGATTAAAGAAGTATAGATCAAGGTGAGTGTCCGTTTTGAGAAATCGTAAAAAGGAACTTGACCGACAGAAGCTTGCCATAACAAGAAAACAAACCGACCTATTGCGCTACCTACTTCGCTCCAGAATGCTGCGGTTGGGGCTGCCGTAGACAGAAGTAGTAGCAGTAGTATGAAATTCATTTCGCACCTCAAGAACCTGAAAGTATCACTCATCACTTATGGGAGTTGACAAAAGTGGTTGGTATAACTGGATCTAACACAGCCAACGCGTTACTCGTGACAATTTTTTAGTTTCAATAAAGCGAACTGTCAATCTCGTCACAAGTTTCTTCTTCTTTCTTTAGCAGAGTAAGTGTGCACAAAAAAATTCCAGAAGAAAAAACTGTGATTCAGAACTGGTATTGCTGGGACCTGAGTTATCGGTTTTGAGAGAAGCAGGTTGGAAGGTGTCGTTCGATTGGGATGTGATTGAACTGGATTCCGTAGCATACGCTATATAACACGATGTCTGATAAGCTGGACCATTCTACTTTTATAAAGGGTGGCGAAGGATCACGTGCACCATACAAAGCTCCAATTTTATTTTGCGTCCTTCAGCATTTCAATAAAACCTATTTTCATGAAAAATTATGCTAAATCATTCTATAATAGCAAAAGAGACGCTTGCACGGGTGCATGCATGATTCATGAAGATACAATCTATGATTCTCCTTCGAGGTTTATTTTCTGCTGCATATATGTACGCTATGGTACATAGCGGTTGTACTGTTCAGCTTTCGGGGGAGGGGGGCATTTCGCACTCTCGCTGCTTTCTCTGGCTGACTCATTAAAATTGACTGACGGGTCCGATTTTGGAGAAACTTGCTGACTCTTCTGCGAAATCCTGCGAAATGCAATGAGTGAGTTACTTTGATTACAAGAATTCAAAAGTCTCAACCAGTTGGCTTGTACAAGTGTCGCTGAAAACCATTTGGTGTCCAAACCGAGACGAACTGTGCAATTGACCTTACTTTCTCTGAGACTACTAAGAAATCGTCGACAATGAGGTAGGAGCACTCAGACGAACCATTCATTATGTTTGTCAACCCCTGAGGCTCGCCAAAGAGTTGGGGTTGACAAAGTAAAGGGAAGGTAAGCCCGTAAACCATAGACTGCACAGACTAAGACCCATAAACCCATAGACCCATGAGAACACTGACCTGTATGAGCTGTCCTCCGCAAGTCATCGTGTAGGCCACATCGCATGCAATAAGCCACTACAATTCTGAATGGAAGTAGAATGCATGTCGCATCTCAACGAGGGGTTGATCAACAGCGGGGACCTTACCTTTTATCCTTTATCACCTTTACCTTTATGGTATTATTGTTCACAGAGGCAGGGATAGCCGAGTGGTTAAGAGTGTAGACTCATAATCTCACTCTGAGCCACGAGTTCGATCCCTGCCGAGGCACAAACCTGCCTTGCAAAAATGGGGACGATACCAGCGTCAGGCCCAGGTTGACAGGCCGGCTGATGGAGGAACCCGTCACAACAATCATGACAAGTCGCAAAAGTATCAGTGTAAAGCTAGGACGTCACCCGGAAGTGGCGCGCAGAACCCTCGCCCGAGTTCTGTGGTCAGTATGCGAGGGCTACCGAGGGGTGAACGACCTCGGCCAAAGAAGCTAGTTCGAATTGGGACCCTGAACGTGGGGTCGCTTACCGGGAAGTCTCGTGAGGTTGCCGACCTCATGAGACGGAGGAATATCCAAGTCCTATGCCTTCAGGAAACGCGATGGAAGGGTGCGAAGGCCCGCGAGATTGGAGAAGGTGTCAAACTCTTCTACAATGGAGCAGACACCAAACGGTGGCAGAATCCCTCAAGGAC